ATGTAGGAGCCAGAACGAAGGAGCTCACAAGGGTCAAACTGGGACAATCTGAGAGCCAAAATAATTAAGTATGATAATGAATTATAAATCCTTGAAAAAAACAGGAATTCGCGTGTCCACTTACAATAAATAGGTCAGTGAAATAAGCGAGATAGGTCTCTTGATTATATAATCAAGAAATCATATAATATGTATCATTACATATTACATGTAATATATAGTTGTATAATTACATATATTATATAATTATGTCAGTGCTAACTACCAAATGTGGAGAGTGCTGGATTTGAAAAAAATCATTTTGCATGATAGTGAAGACTGGATCAAGGAAAAATCATAATGGATGTTAAGTCTAGGGAGAAATTTTGATGAGGAGTGGGATACTTTATGGTGTCAAAGTGTCTCCCTATGGGTTGTTTTTATACCCAAGGGAAAAATACAAATTATACATTGGAGAACTCAAACAGACACTATGACTGGGTTTTCAAAATCATTATCACCAAAGAGGTGTAGAGCAAGAACAAACAAACCCAAAACAAGAAACCTCAATTTTAAAAAAGGGGAGGGAGGAAGGGCCTGGCTTCTTCAAAAGCGTGAATGTCACTAAAGATAAATGCTATGGAAATGTTTCAGTTTAAAGGAGGCTAAAGAAACATAGCATTAATGTAAGACCGATTCCTGTGTCATTAGAAGGAAAAAAATACCATAAAGGACACTGTTGAGTCAGCTTACAAAACTGAATGAACTAGATGGTAGATTGGATAAAAATATTTTATGGATGTTAAATTTACTAGTTGATAACCCTACTGAAGTTATGTAATAGAATATCCCTATTCTTAGGAAATAAACACTAAAGTGCTTACGGGTAAAGGGCTATGATATGTCCCTTACCCTTAAATGATTCTGAAAAAAAAGGGGGGGGTATCTATATCTACCTATACATAGTATAGTATATAAATATATATTACTTATAGTGTATATATTACATACGGTGTATATAATGTATATTTACAGAGAAACAAAGAGAACACATGCAAATGGAGTAAGAAGTTAACAGTGTATGTGGATTCTTTGTATGATTCTTATTCTTCCAACTTTCCTGTAAGTTTGAAATTATTCCAAATAAAAAGTTTAAAAATATTTTATTTATTTTTTTAGTATTTTAAAAAGGGAACGGGAGTGGTTTCAGTTTACACTTCCAGCATCAGGAAAATTCATTTAGGTTTTCTCCATGTGTAAAATGAGAGATTTGAACTAGATGTGTTTGAAGCCTTCATTCTGTCCTAAATTTATATATATATAGGTGTGATGAGAGAGTAAATAAGAGGTCCTTTAAGAAATTGCTGAAAAGGAAACAATACCTCAAAAGTGCCTTTCTGTTTCTTCTCATTGGGACACTACTAACATCTAACAATAGAATTTCTATTTCTGCCAAATCTCTTATCATCAGAAACAAAGAAAAGGCAGTGTATTTTTTTCTCCATAGCTGGGGGTGCCTGAATTTATTTCACACACACACCATAATTTTCTGCATTATTATTATACTGTGGTTCACTCTTAGAACACAAGTTCCCCCTAAAAGGGAAGGGGGAAGAGAAGCATGTCTTTTATTCTACCACTGACATTTTTTATCAAGGCATCTAAAATATATTACTGGTTCTAAAGAGAAATCCAAGTGCTTTCTTAAGTCTAATTGCAGGTTAATCATATGCCTGAGCATAGTTTTCTTACAAGACCTAGGGTGATATGATTGTGTCATGTGTTTAGTGGGCAATCAATAAGTATTGGTTAATTTTATTTTGATTTGATAACTCTTATTCCTTTAGGATCAGATTCGCAGGGCTTAACTTCAAAGTGCTTATTTTTCTTCTTTGATCAACTTCCACTTGAGTCTGCTGTTAATATTCACCTGGGTCTTGTTCCCACTATACTTACTGCTAAAGGAACCCAAACGGTCCATTCCCTAAAATTTGCAAACAATCTTGTTTTGATCTTCCTCAATGCAGCACTCCTTCAAGGAGATGTCAGAACTGGCCAACACATACACCAAAGCTTGAGGACTCCCTATGAACAAACAAAAGCGGCATATGGATCAGAAAATAATTCAAAAGGACAAGATGCAGAGAAGACAATGCAATGTACTCAATTCTACCACATCCTAGCTTTGTAATGCTAAGCAAATTATTTTATCTTTTTTTAAATTTTGTTTTAAGGGGTTTTTTTTTAATATGTAATTATTTTAGAGAGAGAGAGAGAAAAAATGCATGCAAGAGTTGAGGGAGAGAGAGAAAATCTCAAGTAGACTCCCCACTGATCACGAAGCCTGACACAAGGCTTGATCCCATGACCCCGAGATCATGACCTGAGCCAAAATCAAGAGTTGGACACTTAACCGACTGAGCCACCCAGGCACCCATTTTATTTATTTAAGTAACGACTGAGCCACCCAGGCACCCATTTTATTTATTTAAGTAATTTCTACACCCAATGTGGAGCTCGAACCCATGACCCTGAGATCAAGAGTTATATGCTCTTCTGACTCAGCCAGCTAGGCTCCCCAATTATTTTGTCTTTATAAGCCTGTGTCCCCCTCTGTAAAGTGGGTATGAGAAACAGTATCTACCTCCTACAGTTATTGTGAAGATTAAATACCAAAATCCATATAAATAATGCACCGTGGTGGCGGCCCATAGTAAGCCCTCTATAAAAGGTACATATCTCTAATAAACAACTATTGTTTTTCTCTACCCAGTTTGACTTACACTTATACTTACGCCACTTACACTTGGCCCAAGTCACTTCTCTCCTTAACCCTCTTTCCTTTGGGACACTGACTCACCCACATTTTCATATGGTTCTGGTGGCGTTACCAATCACAATACTCTAAACCCCAACCCCACAGCTAAAGCGGCCAGATCTCTTATGAAAATCTCAATCTTGAGTAAGACATACAAGGACAGACGTCAAATGGAGCCCAGTCATTCACTAATCAAAGAATTTGGTCCATGAGCTCTGGCTATTGAGATCCCCAACCCCAAGGGTGGCCCCAACTGTTTAGATTTCTTCTCATTTCTCTATCTTTCTAATACTTTAATATGAATGACTATTACGAGAAACCAAGGAACCCTATTACGACATATATTTGTTCACTTACTCTTTGAATAAATATTTAATGTTTGAACAATGTACAAAGTATTTTCTTGAAGGCAGAAATGAAATCATACTTCACCCTAAGTCAAGAAAACATCTCTCCTTCTATAGTCCTACAGCTTCTTAGCTATCTCTTTTCTGGCAACCCATTCTACTTTGTGAGGATTACTTCTGAATGCATATTTTTTTCCCATTTGTAGACTAAATGAAAGCAGGAACTGGGCGCCTGGGTGGCTCAGTTGGTTAAGCAACTGCCTTCGGCTCAGGTCATGATCCTGGAGTCCCGGGATCGAGTCCCGCATCGGGCTCCCTGCTCAGCTAGGAGCCTGCTTCTCCCTCTGACCCTCCCCCCTCTCATGTACTCTCTCTCATTCTCGCTCTCTCAAATAAATAAATAAGATCTTTAAAAAAAAAAAAAAAGAAAGCAGGAACTACTATCCAATATACATCTGTATGCTTCAAAGTGCCAAACACAGAGAAAGAACTCAAAAAACAAAACGTAATGGACGAATGTTAGTTTTACAACAGGTTAATTCATCTTTAGTTCTCCTGGAGTGATTTCTTTCACCTGGTACACTGAGCTTGGGGTATAATTCATCCTTAAATCTGTATGACATTCAGATTACATGGCTGTCAATAAACTTGTCTTTTTTGAAGTGGGCTGGGATAGGATGGTTCTCACCCTACTCTGGTCCCAGGAAGAGTTAGCCTTGAAGAAAAATGGGTTTAGCAAGAGGTATTACGCACTCAGTAATAAAATAATGACCAACATTTACTGACTTTTCTCATATGCCAGGTACGGCGGTCCCACTCACTGTATGTGGATTATCTCTTTGAATCCTCACAACCTTCAGGCATGCTGCTTTTTCAAAGAAGAAAGGAAGTTCTGAAAGACTGCTACTTGCACAATGTCTTAAAGGTAGTGAACAGCAGCGACCTTCAACAAAGGTTAATAGGGATGGTCAAGTAAAGAATATATAAACACTCCATGTCATAAGCACAATATTGCAAAAAGCAGAATTTTCTTTTTTCCTCTCCTTTCTTCTCACAGGAGACATGACATCCATAAAAGGATGGGGGTAGCTCCAAATTAACATCTACCAAATTCAAAGTCACTGGGAGGTAGAAGGCAGGCACGCGAAGAATGGCATCCGCTGTGGTGCAGAGTACAGGTGCAGGGTTTGGAGTTTTGCAGACAAGGCGGAGCTTCTCACTTTGTTCCTTAAGCTGTATGATCTTGCGCAAGTCATTTTACCTGAGCCTCAGTCGGCCTCAAAATGGGGCTGAACTACCTAGTGTGTAAAGCCTACTTGAAAACCCGAAATGTAACGTCGGTCAGGTGCACGACACAGAGCTGCTGTTCCCAGCGTAATTAGGCGCGCCACCGCACAAATTGGAATCCCGAGGCTCTGGCAGTGCAGGGCCGCCCAGGGGGCGCAGGGGGCGGGGCGCGCCAGGCACGCCGCGAGGCGGGGCCGACCGGTCAGGCCGAGCCCGCGCCGCCCTCCACCAGGCGCGGCGCGGCGAGGCGCGGCGTGGCCCGGCTCCGCAAGCCCGCCCGCCGCGTTTCCCCCCGAGCCGCCGGGGCTCGCAGCTCGCCCCCGTCCCCGCCGCCCCTCGCCGTCCCCGCCACCCCCTCGGCCGCTAGAGGGGCTCGCGCCCCGCCGCCACCCGCCTTGTAGCGCCTCGTGCCTCACCTCGCTGCGTCCCCCTGCTCCGCGCTGAGGAGCCGCCAGCCGCGCGCGCCCCCGGGCGTGCGTGCTCGCTCTCGAGCGACACAGGCGCGAGCTCGCCGCCGCGCCGCCCCTCCCCGGCCTTCGCGGCCCCGCCGCCGCCGCCGCCGCCGCCGCCGCCCCCCCCGCCGCCTCTTCGGCCCGCGCCTCGGCCTCGCCGCGCGCCCGCCGCCGTCCTCCAGCAGAGGCCCGGGGGGTTAGGGCGGCCTGAGCAGCCTGCCTGACTTGAGTCCGGGCAGCAGCCGCTTTTGCGTGAGGCGCGTTCCCGGGCGCCAGAGGCTCCAGAGTGCGGTGAGGTGGAGCGGGCCGGTACTGTCCTGCTTTTGTGTTCCTAACATTCCCACTCCCGCCGCCCCTGCTGACGCGAAGGCAGCTGAGGCGGAGCGGCTCTTGCAGCGCTGCTCGCGGATTAACCAGACTGACTGAATGGTGTAAGGGTAAACAGGGTACGTTTTATTCAGATGCTTCTGGAACGTCGAAATTCTCTTCTTTGGAAAGAACCCTCCCCTCTCTGGGCTTCAGGGGCCCAGACTGAGGCGCAATGATGAGAGGATGTGGTGGTCCACTCTGATGTCAATCTTGAGGGCTAGGTATGTCCCAACATCTCTTATTACTACTACTAATTATTATAATAGCTACCATTTGTCGGGTATTTGTGCATGCCAGGCATTGTTACAAAAGAGGTGACATCCATGGTGTCATTTAATCTTCAAAACAACCTTATGAGGTGGGCACTATTATTACCCCCATTTTCCAGGTGAAGACATTTAGACTGGCTTATAAATAACTTGGGAACACACGGCTAGAAAGTGTTGGGAAGGGGATTCAAGCTGTGGTAATCTGCACCATTATGCTCTTACATCTATTTAGAAGTCTGTCTTTCATAAATTCGCCCAGCCTCTCTTTAAATTCATTTGCATTTTCTGCTGGTGTGGCCTCTTGATTCATCTTTTAGTTTATGAATGCTACAAATTCGTCCTAAAAAATAATCAAAATTCACACCAGCTCCCACTGTGTTAAATAAACAGTTAACATTTTGGTATACTCTTCCAGACATTTTCCTATGCATCGTGTCAATAGATCTATTATAGTGTAGTTTAATTTTGATGTATCCTGAAAATCTAGTCATTTAGTCAACAAATATTTAATAAGCAGACCCTGTTCTAGGTGCTGAGAACTCAGCAGCGAACAAAATAGTCTCTGCCTTATATAATAGTGGGGGAGATTGACAAGAAACAATATACATATTACTAAAGAACAGGTAGTGCCTGGTAATGTGGCAAGTTTTATGGGAAAAAAATAAATCAGAATAAAGGGATAAGAGTGATGTGGGCACGGTCTTTTAGATGAGGTAGACAAGGAAGGCCTCTTAATTGAAAGAGCACATAAGTAGAAACCTAATCATTAAGGGAGGCAGCACATGGATTTCCAGAGGGAAACTAGAAGAGAAGCAGCAATTGCAATGGCCCTGAGATAGGGACTTGCTTGGCCTGTTGGAGAAGCAGCAAGGAGACCAGTGTGGCTGCAGCACAGCAAATTAGAGAAATAAGTTGCGAAACAGGCAGAAACCAGATCATGCATCATCTCGTAAGCCATGGTTGGACTTTGGATTTTGGGGGGATGTGGTAGAGTACCATGCAAGGGTTGAGAGCAAAGGAGTAATCGGAATTTTTTGGGGGGGGGGAGACTTCTTTTTAGGGTTTAACAATTTGGAAAACTTATTTTGCCAAGCAATGTGGATTCGAATTTTATGTATTTTAGAGCAGTTTCTTTGCAGAGATGGCTCATGAATGACTCCTTGGTGTGTGGTGGGGGAGGTAATCAGATTTATTTTAAAAGGATCAGTCTGGCAACTGTGTGGAGAATAAGATGGTAGAAACATTAAAGTTACTCTTTAAAGCATTAATTATCCTTTTATACAGCCATCATTCAACAGTTAATCAACATTGGTGTTTCACCTACACCTTTACACCTCGGCAACCACTCATCTCCACAAAGAGGAGATAGGGTCAGACACTTGAGGACTTATCTTCATGTCTTTCTCACCTAAAGTGAAGTTTTTTGAGACTGGCTAGATCTCCATATATCCAGATCTGGATGTCATGATTGTCAACAAATTGAATATGAGTCATCAGTGTTGTACTATTGTGGAAAAAACAATCCCACATTAACACTGGGATCTATTCGTTAAAAACATAGCATTCAAGCACCTGAAAATTACCCTCTGCTTCAATTGATGTTAGGCCCTCATTAGAATTCTTAGCCCCAATTTAGTCATTTTGCTTAAGATGTGGAAAAATTAAAATGCACAGTGAAAGAAAGGGTAACACTGTTGAAGGCAGTGCTTTTCTGGGTTTTTGCCTTTAGCAATGTAATGGATAGTGGCATCAATTGTAAAACCAGCTGCAGGAATAACAGATTTGGAGGAGAAATTAAAAGTTCTGTTTTGGATTTGTGTTTTGCAATCTGAGTGGAAATGATATATATTAGATATATATTAGAGCTCAGAGGTGTATAACTGTATCAAAATTGTTTCTTTGGATGTGTGTCTTCTTTAGACAGAGCTTGAAGACAGACACTATGTCTTTTCTTCTTTGTAACTTCTGTGCCCGTAAGTGCATCCTGGACAAATATTTGTGAAATGAGCAAGTAAAGGCAAAGGTATGGATGAAGTCACTCAGGCAAAATATATAAAGTAAAAAGAGAAGAGATACCTGCTTTCACTGGAGGTCCAAGTACCTGAACATGATTTATAAATAGGGTGACCTGGGGCGCCTGGGTGGCTCAGTCATTAAGCATCTGCCTTCGGCTCAGGTCATGATCCCAGGGTCCTGGGATCAAGCCCCGCATCAGGCTCCCTGCAGGAAGCCTGCTTCTCCCTCTGCCTGCCGCTCCCACTGCTTGTGCTGGGGAAGCTTAACCGAATGAGCCACGCAGGCATTCCCCAAGCCCTTCCATTCTTAACGGAGGAGGTTGGCCTTTGAACTTGAAACCCAGCAGGGAAAATTGTATCCTACTGCCAGGGTCTGTAATGTAGCTGCCATTGACTGAGTCCAGAATATGCCAACAGGTCCTCTTCAACTGTAAAGCTGCTGTGTTTAGAATCAGAAGTGTAGTTTCTGAGTTCCCTCCCTATGGAAATGATTCTTTATCATTTCTAGTTACTCACTTGTCCTGAGTGCTGAGTTTATAAACTTTATCTCATCTAATACTTATATTTTTTCTAAGTGAGGTGGTTCTTTGTAGTCTGGTATACAAATAGATAAAAACAGAAAGTCTCGAAGTCTCTGCTTTCTTCTGGGTTTCAACTTCCTCTCCTTTAAGCTCTGAGGTATACCTAGTACATGTAAGTTAGCCAGAGATTTAGGTCCTGGAGCAGAGTCCTTTGCCAATTACCAGGGCTCTTCAAGGCAAGGGATCTTCCTTTGACACGCTCAGAAGAGAGGGTTTCACCCCACAAAAGGCGGGAGCCTCAAGGATTACAGCTCTTAGCTCTCAGCAATGTGAGTTCACACACACTAAGTCACTTTCCCAGAAGCATAGGCTCCCCTGTGGCCTAGTTCAGGACTGATTCTAGCCTCCTCAGGCTCTGCTGTGGAGTCTTGCATTCAGGAGCATTGCTTTCCTCCTTCCTGCGCCTTTACTCCACCTTCTATCTTTCTCTCTTTGTGACCACCCTCATCAAAGGAGTTAAGGAATCAATCCTTTTCTTTCCAGAAGGTTCCTAGACTGCTTATTTAACTTGATCCACCTCAACTGTGACCAGTCTGCAGAGGAAAGGTGGAAGCAGTCCTGCTAATCTATTTACAGAAATATAAGGTCTATATAGACATTTCTCCACACGGTGGCATGTCTGGGTTACTTCTGCATTAAGGAAGAGGGCCCTAAAGATCTCAGAGGTGAACAAAATGGAAAAAAAATTTTTGCTAAAGGGCCCTGCTGCATCCTACATTACAAATAAGGGAAAATAAGGCTCAGAAAAGGAAAACCATTTGCCCAAAGTCATTTAGTTACTAGGTAGCACAGCCAGGATGAAAGCCAAATCTGGCCAAATGTTACTAATAAACTACCTCTGACTCTTTAAAACTGAAGAGTTAGCAGGTATCAGGATTTTCATAATGCCATAGCCATTAAGGAGAGTGTCCGTGAATCTAGGCTTTTGCTACCCATCTGTTTTGCCTCTTCCTCACCATCCTGACTTCTTTTTGATCTATGTAAAGTGCAGAGTATCTGTCTCGTGAGTCACCAGGCTTTGGGTAGAATCCAAAAAGTTAGGTGAACTAGGAATGTATTGTTGCTGAGTAACTTCTGTTTATCCGAAAAATTTAACTACTACCCTTTACCACTTGCAAGTATTTAAGCAAGTTATTATCTTTCTGTGCCTTTTTTCTCCTCGTGTGTAAAATGAAAATTATAATACCTAATTCATAAGAGTTTTGTAAGGATATGACTATATATATAAAATACCTAGTTCATGGTGGGATTCAAATAAATTATAATTGTGATTCTAATTCTAGAAGTGCTCCATAGGATGACCCTGGGGCTTGTTTAGAAGTTGTAGGAGGCTAGGTTAGCCAGTGCTCAACATTAGAATTTTTTCATTATTTGAATCCTATCTACCTACTAGAAACCTGTTTCCAGAACACTGAGCAATTAAATAGAATTTCTTTTGCTGCTTGCTTCTTTAGCACCTTACTATACATAAGTAAGGGAGTGTACTTTATCTCCTAGGTCACAGAACAAATGCATAATTGCCATCAAGGATGGATAATCCAGCTTTACCTCTAGTGCAGAACAAACTCAGGAGCTGTGTCCCATTTACTTAATGTAAATAGTGAACAGACTTAGGCATTGTGAGCAATTAACTATAAGATTGTTCCTTAGAGTACAGAATGAATACTTTCCTATTATAATCAAATAAAACTTACAATGAGGTTAATCTGATGCATATTTAATGATAGATGTAATTGTTATTGTGCTGCATGATAATTAGGCCTTAAATGTTAAGCTGTTTCCATAAATGACTGTAATTGGTTATTTTTATACAGCAAAACACATTTTTTAGTGTTTGTCCACTCACTTTATTAATTTCCTAGAATCTATAATCATACCAAGGACAACAGTTTTCCCTGAGTCTTTACTGTTTAATCATGCATTCACACAAACACACTTTCAAAATGACACAGCAGGGTTCTCATCCTAATTTGGTACTAAAAGTAACTATTGTTCAAGGCTTTTTATATATATCTTTTCTCATTTTAGTCCTTAAAAACCCATTAAGGGAGGTGTTGTCACTCCCATTTTACTGATGCAGAAACTGATGCTCAGAGAATGTAAACAGGTAGCATAGTAGAGATTCAAACTTCTATCTCCAACTTGTAACCACTACTTTATACAACCTCAGAAGATGATGGGTCCCAGCCAAGATATGTCAAGATTTTCAGGAAGTGGACTGGCTCCTGGGAAATACCAAATATGTATAGTATATCCAAAGGGAGAATGAGTCATCCTGAAAGAGGGAGGCGTTAGTAATGGAAGTTTGAAGCCTATGGAAGCTGACTTTCTGAGTGCCCATTCAAGAAAAAGAGTC